TTTTTTTTGGTTGTTTTTTTTTTTTTTTTTTTTTTTTTTTTTTTTTTTTTTTTTTTTTTGCTCCCAACCACCGGGGGGCGCAGCTTATTATGGAGAAAGAAGAAAAGGGATAAGATTGGAAAGAAGGCATAGGAGATTGAGGAAAAAGGAAGTGAGAGATACTCTATACAGAAAGCAAATGAGACTTGGTGGAGGATGAGACTGAGTAGTGCTAATTCTTCATTTGCTCATGTTTGCAAAAATGTAGACTAGGTTGATAATTTCCTTAAACATAAAGCTTCTCAACAAAAATGCCAAATGCCAAGGTTAATAAGCCATGTGATCCAGTTAAGTGTACAATAATAATGTGTAACCCTCACACAAGATGTTGTGGAATGGGCTCAGATTAATAGCTCTTCTACCTGTTTTGTAAATTCACATGTGTGAGTGTTGATGGCTGGGTAAGCTTTCTTTTTTTTCCCCCTTCATATCTCAGCCTGAGTGGCCTCAAGCTCTCTAGGGTGTTTCATTTTCACAGCAGACAGATGCTAACTGTGTGCTAGTAAGGCAAAAGAAACCCCTGGCACATATTCAATAAAGGTAGGTATGGTTAGAACAGGAACATATTTGCCCCTTTCTTATTATTGATCTAGTAAATCAGAGTGTTGGCAGTGAGTGTCAAATTAATGAGGCATTTGTCTTAAATGGAGCACTGTACAGATCTGAAGTAAACATTTGATGATATACTTAATACGGTAAATTAAATTCTCACAGCAAAAACAGAATATCCCCATCCAAACCCAAACTCTCTCTCTCTCTCTCTCTCTCTCTCTATATATATATATATATACACATATATATATATAATCAGTAATTTATTTTGAAATTGTGTCACTTTATGGACCTTATTTGCCACAATTTCTGGGATGCAGAAGAAATGAATGTTTGCCAAAGCTAAACATGCAAATAGATGCAGAATTCATCTTTGTCATATCAAGTGCTAACCCAATTCGGCTATGTGCATCATGGTAATAACCTCCAGGCCTATCAATGTTGTATTTTATACCATGAATTAAAAGACCAAATTATCTCCCTTAAGTTGGTTTTAATAGCATTTGATTCATCTTATTAATTTATGTAAGAAACAGGATAATTCAGAAACTAAAGAAAACTCTGTGTCTATTATGAATTATCAAGTGAGTGTTATGCCTTTCATGACTGCTCCCAACTGCCTGCTGATATGGTTAATCATTTATTAACTTTTCTTGGACAGTAATAAAAGCAAGGCTAGTATAAGCAGGAAGTAAAAATATACTCAGAACCATAGTCACCATATCTCTTCCGTCTTAGAGAACAAATTTTTAATGTGTTTTTTTTTACTGTGAAATAAAATATGTACATTAAAGTGCACAAAACAATGTGCTCTATGATTTATCAAAAGTGAACACTGTGTAACCATTCAGGTCAAGAAAAAGAACATTGCTAGCTCTTCAAAACAATATCCCAGTATTTTCAAGGGGCATAGAAGGAGTAAGGAAATAACTTAGGTTTAGCATTTTTCCGTTGTTATGCAAACGTACTTGTTTCCTTTGAGTAACAGTAACTGTATATTAAGGTAAGTGTGCAATTAATTTGTTTGCAATTAAAGTAGAAAATATTTGGTAACAGAACATATTGTGGAAGTAAATCTACCTATTGCAGTGTTTCCCGACATAGAAAATAGCAACATTTATATGGAGTACTGGGGTACACTAAAGAAATTTGGGGGCATATGTATGGGACACAGTAAAGAGATTCATTACATTGTCTTTATATGATGCAATTTTGATGAGAAAATAAATGAGACTATTTGAGGAAGGACATTAAAATTGAATGTAGATAATAAGTTTAAATTTAGAAATATAAATATACTTCCATTGATATTACTTTTTGTTTCAGTTTTTGTGCTTGAAAACATATATATCATTTTTTTTTAATTTTTTTTCAACGTTTTTTATTTATTTTTGGGACAGAGAGAGACAGAGCATGAACGGGGGAGGGGCAGAGACAGAGGGAGACACAGAATCGGAAACAGGCTCCAGGCTCTGAGCCATCAGCCCAGAGCCTGACGCGGGGCTCGAGCTCACGGACCGCGAGATCGTGACCTGGCTGAAGTCGCACGCTTAACCGACTGACTGCGCCACCCAGGCACCCCGCAAACTTATATATCATTTCTAATCAAAACATTTTAACAGTGATCTTTTCAAGTTTATATATAGCTGCTGTCTATAAAAAATTTTACTTGCACAAGTAGAGAATAAAAATTTTGAAGCAACTTTTATAGCTATTAAAATTTTTTCAACATTTTATTTATTTTTTTCAACACTTTATTTTAAATATAGCAACTCTTCCATTTATTTCTTTTCCAAATTTACCCTTGGAATTTCATGAGGGTGCTATAGATTGAAATTTTACCTTAATTTATATGTCAAGTATTGAAAAATTAATATTGAAGTTTTAAATTAGAAAATATAAGTCCTTTAGAGATGTTACTATGCACCTACATTACGACAAATTGATAAAAGTATTTAACGTATGGAAAAACGCCTAAAGATACACCTAACAAGAACTCTTAACTTTCTTTCTCATTATCTGTCCTCCTGTGGCCAAATTTTGGTAGGTATGCTATGCTAATTAATCACTCCTTCAGCAAATCCACAGATCCCTTTTTCATGATGAAAAGGGACATGCTTGCAGCAAGTTGCTAACATAGATATTAAGGTGATAGACTCATAGCTAGGTTGAGCTCACAGCCTTGAGACCAGACCAATGAGTGCTAATTATGATTGCCTAAATGCCAATCCAGTTGGGTCTTGTTCTCAGAAGCCCAGGATAGAGCTCTTTTCCCAGGCCTTCCCAAAAGTTGAGGAGACCAAATATCCTGAAGGACATCTGTAATGCCACCATTTGGAAAGTTCTGATCTATAGAAATGGAGGCAAGAAAATAATGGAGCAAAGACTGTACACTGGAAGGCTGTGAGATGGATGAATAATTATGAAGCACTTTTGTTGAAGAAACTAGACAAACACTTAAAGTCTTGACTTTAATACAGAATTGAATTATTAACATTGAAGAAATAAGTGCTATTGATTCCAATTCTTAAAAATGATGGGTCATTTATAGTAAAAGTAATTAAATACAGTCATATATAAATGTTTATTAACAATTTTTCTTTGTTTAGAGTAGGTTCTTTTAAAATATGCATTTACTGAGTGAGTTTTGGAATATCTCTGGTTCCATTTCCAAACATGCTTTTGCTTCCTTTACACTCTCAACCACTGAAACTTTCATATGGAAAGCCCAAGATAGAACTGCTTTCTAGGTTCCAGAAGTGTATTTTCTATGAGAATGGTAGTAGTGAAAAGTGATCTTAAAAGTTATCTAGTTCCTTGGTTCTCAGAGTGTGGTCCATATATTAGCATGATAGGCATTGCTTTGGAGCTTGTGAGAAATTGAGTTTCTCAGCCTCCATCCCAGAACTATTGAATGAGAATCTGAATTTTTAATAAGTCCCTGGTGACTCACATGCAATTCAAGTTTGAAACGCATTGATCTAGTTAACCACCTTCCCACCCCAAATACATGATATTCCTTGGGAATATTCCTGTCAACAGTTAGGTAACTCATGGTCTCCCAAAACAGTCCTTTCTTTAGTTTGGATTGGCT